TTTTATTTTAGGCTCGTGAAGCAGTTGATATGCGGGCTAAAGTGGAAAAACAAATAGCTAAGAAACAAAAAGAAGAAAAAGAAGAACGATTACGTGAATTAGCTCTCCATGCTCGAACAGATCGAGCAGGCATTCGTCCTGCTGGTAAATTATTTATTTATCTATTTGAAATAAATGACTTTTTTCTTTCGATTAGATAAGAGTGATGATCAAAGTGCTGAACGTGATCAAATTCGACAAGAAAGACAAAAAGATCGACAACGTGCTGCTGCTTTTCAACGAGCTGGAGGCAATAAACGGTAAAAAAACAAATAATCTAAAGTAAAATGTTATTCTTTTTTTTCCTGTTTTTATTTGAGAAATCATCCAAAAGAACATGATATCAGTGAACAAATTGCATTGGGTGTACAAACTGCAAGTAGTACAGGTGTTCAACATGATCAACGTCTATTTAATATGTCGGCGGCAAGAATTTGTTTTTCATTTTCTTTCAATCATTAAACTGTTTTTTTTCTATTTGTAGGGTTTTTGTAGTAGTTTGGGTGACGATGAAGCTTATAATATATATGATCAACCTTGGAATTTCTCAACTACTATTGCTTCTCAAATTTATAAACTAACAATAACAACAAAAGATAATTTTGACGATACTGAAGCCTTAATTAATGCTTCTAAACGGTTCGTTCTTTTTCCTTTAATTGTTGAAAGAGCTGCAATCTTTTTTTTTAATTTTAGATTCGAACAAGAACATGGTTTCAAAGGAGCTGATCGAGCAGCACCACATGAGGGCCCTGTGCAATTTCAACTTGACGAAGATCCATTTGGTTTAAGTGATTTCTTAAAAGATGTACAACATGGTAGTGCTGGTAGTTCAGCTCCATCAGCTAAAGGATCTTCTGGTTCATCGTCTAAACGTAGTCATGCAGATGATGGAGAAGAGCGAATTAGTGAAACACGTCGCAAGAAATAAAATAACTTTACTCTTTTTTTTTCGTATGTTGTGTCTCGTTATTTCCTGATGTTTTGTTGTTGTTCTTTATCTCTCTATTACTCTTCAAATTGTTTACGATAGTGCACAGAAGAAAAAAATTCCTTATATGATTTATGCCATTATTATTGGCATTTGTTGTCTTTGTCTCGTTTGTCTACACAACGTTTTTGGATAGAAATGAAAGTAAAACTTGCGTATATGCGTATGATCATCTGATATAGTTTCGTTTTTATTTGATAAGTCGGAAAATCTGATACATATTCAATTTAAGTATTGAAACAACATCTGAAAATGGTTGACCATCTAAGTAATGTCAAATAGAGTCAGTTTAAATGAGAAGTATCTCATGTCAATAACATACATGCATTAAATTTTTGAAACAGAATAAATCTTTCAGCGATAAACAGATCGGTTTTGATTGATATAGACCTTGAGTCGAACGACAAAAATAATGAACCACTTATCACGTAAAATTTTTATAACAAACAATATTTACATGAAGAAACAGAAGATAAAAAAAGAAACAAAATGATATGTGTGTGTCTAAAAGTAATGGAAAGAAAAAAGAACAGTAAGAAATTTTGGCATGCGTGGATGATAAATTGAATTAGAAAAGAGATTCAATGGTTCGGTTGACTGCGATATCTAAACAAAATTTTCACGCAATAGTTGACCAAAGTCTCCAATCTAGATCTAAAAAAGTGCACTTTTCAATAGTTTTTTTCTATCCTTATCGACCTATAGGGTGTACTTTTCCTCCGACCTACTAATCTATTCAGTACTCGGCATGTTGTTTAACGTCAGTGCGGTTATACTTGAGGGTGTGGGTATGTGGGTGTGGGTATGAGTGTGAGTATAGGTGTGGGTGAGTGTGAGTGTGGCGGGTGTGGGTGTGGAGGGAGTGGGTGTGGAGTGTGAGATGTATGGTGTTCTCCTATCCACACCCCACACCGACACCCACGCACACATACACTCATATCCTTCTTTATACTACAACAATGATCATTAAACATGCGTTTTCATTTTGTTTTTGGTATAAGAAATGAACAGAAAGTGGAAAATGATATTGCACGAAGGTGAATTTTGGAAGAAATTTTTTTAGAGGTATTTGATTTTTGACATCTCATGCTTGGTATATTTATTTCAGAAAAATAAGTTTGATAAAAAACTTGTAGTTCAAATTGTCTTCTTTCGAACAACGATTAATTGGATTGGTTTAGAAATTCGCAATATGGTCGAACAGAGTTTGGCATTTGTGCACATACTTCTACACCGCATGTTAATTCTGAGAATTAGACATTGACAAGAAACTTAATTTAACAAAATGTTACAATAGTTGTTATTTCCTTCTTTTAAATGTCAATCAAATTAGAGTCTCCAGAAAAAAAAACATTATCAGTATTTGTTGAGAACAGTTTCTGTTAAATTTCTTCTTATATAAATAATTCATCAATAGAAATGATAATTATTAATTCATCAATAAAAATTTAAGCTTTCATAAACAAATGCTGTTGTATTGTTCACCAATAATATAATTGCAGACAACTGCTTATGAAGTAATTATCTTCGTGATTCTAAAAATCTTAATAGCAAAAATATTCTTCCTCGATCTAACACTTCAGTGTCACTATTTACTAATAAAATTATAAGGTTTCAAATAGAATATATGCAACTGTTTAGAAATATAAACGAATAGAAGCAATTTATGATACTTTCGTTTCTGTATGTTTGTTAATAATATTTTCTTTTGACATACGCATATGCTTTATTTAATTATATTTTTTGTTGATACATTTTAAATCAATATAAATCTAAATATTTTTTGTTGATATAGTAAATATTAACCTCAACGAAACTATGCAATAATATTTGTTACTTATAACGGTACTAATATTTTTTTATTTCTAGTAATGAAACATTGAGTCAAACAGTGCATGACCGAGTCTTACTTTTGTTTTTGAAATTCAGAATTTAGTGACAACAATAGCGTAACGATGTTGATTATATTTATAATAAAAATAGAATTCATGGATAAGAATAAAGCCTGGAAAAATTCTAATACGGTTAATATTAGTGCCTAGTATATTAATTGATTGCTTGAGAAAACAAGAAAACATGCTCGATTGTTATGATTACTATCATAAAAAGGTCTAGGAATACGTGCATAAATCATAACTACAATCAATAATTTTGATATAACCTATAGAAAAATTCATAAGAGATTCATTTGAACAAGCATAGACGAATGGTTTAAGCTCATGAAATAATGAAATATAATTGGGATTTTAAGGAATCTATCAATATTAATTCAATTTCAACAAAACAATTGATCACAATGGACTAAATTACAATTCTCGATATATGTAAAGTTTTTATAAATACTGCTTACAACGTAGACTTGAAGTGTTTTCAGTCAAGTATTGTTGAAAGTTTTCTATGTCATTACATATAGAACGAAAGTTTGGACATGTCACCTTTCTTTTTTCTCATCATTCATCATGTTTAAGGACATATGGTATAAATGTCAAGAAGAATAAAAAAATGTTATATTATAATAAGTACTTTCGTGTTGGTAAAAAGTATGTTGAACATTCAGAAAAGAGCCTAAGGACTTATATTTTGATTCGATTACGTACATCTTCACTTGTTTCTTTCACTTTATACATTTTTTTTAATACATATTTCAAACTGCAAATTGTGAAATGAAGGATTTAGCAACTATGTAAACAAATCAAAAAGATTTCAAACAAAATATTTTTTGAAAAGAAATCATTAGTTTAATCATTAAGTATAAATAAATGAATTGAAAATGTTCCATCTCATCTTTATAAATAAATCAAAATTTATTCAATAAATACAAACATAATCGACATATGTTAATTATCTGATTATCTAATATACATCATCAGATAATAGGATAATACTCAGAATAATTTTAAAAGCTTAGTGATAGTTTGAGAAAATCAGTGGGGGTTGATGGCTTTTGAGATGGAGGTAGCAATCATTACAAAAGAATGATTTCGGAAGCCCATTCAAGATAATATAACTTTTTTTTTCTCGTTTCTGTTGAAGAAAAATGTAAAAAAAAACAAATTCGCAATGATGTTGCAACTTTCACTTTGCTACTTCCGAAAATCGTTTTCGTGAAAGCTATTATATATATATCGATAGCGAAGCAATCAAAATATGTTTGTTTGAACATATCAATTAATACATTTCACTATCGTTTTGTGATACTTTATTAGCAAATAAGAAAAAATTCTCATATTAAACAGCCTATTCTCCAAAAAGAAGCAAACAGTTATATAAAAAAATTTTATTTTTCTTTTTTTAAAAGTGAAATAAATGGCAAAAAAAAACATATACGTTCTTTTTTTTCTGTTTGACATTATTTGAAATTGGATATTGTTTGTTTATGCTTTTAATGTGGTTAGAGACTTACAACAAGCACGACAACATGCTACACAACAACCAACTACAGTTAGAATATAAGTTACAATTATTATCCAAAAAGCGAAATTATATAAAGTTGAATGACAATAATTAAGTGATTTTTCGTTATCAAAATCAACTATATTTCGAGCTCCAAATACCCAAACATTGCCCTATGCAAAAAGAACCAAACAAACATAATAATTAATTTAGAAATAGACTAAATAAAATTTTCACATACTGCAATAAACCAAGCAAATAAAAATATGATCATAAGAAAAATAATAACAATTATAATACCAATTATACATGTACTAAGACATGATCCAGCAATTGAGTCTTGTTTAACACAACATATAAATGAAGCAATCTATATTTAATTAATAATAAAATATCATAAGGAACTATAAAGAAAACTGATAATTTAAAATAATATCTTACAATCATTATTGTCAAAGCAATCAATATTATGCCACATGCACCTGTTACAATTAAATATCTTGGAATATAAATATTCACTGAACATTGATCTTGATAAGCTATACCAATAGCTAATTCAAGTATAGGAACAATGAGAAGAATACATAAGACAATCAAAAAATAATTTGAACCAAGTATTATAGATAAAAAAGGTGGAAGAAAATTTATTCGTCTTTCACTAGCAATGCTTAAACGAGGTAACTTGCTATGATTATTGTATTCATCAAAAAAATTTGAAAATGGTGGACCACCAACACTAGGTCGTTGATTAGAAGTAAATGATCGTGGAATTTCGATCGGTACTTGTTGCTGTTGCGTTGATGATTTTGGTATTGGATATTGTGCCATAACTACTCGTCTTGAAGGTCATGAACAGTAAGAAAAGAAAAGGAAAACAAAGGTAATTTTGATCACGACAAAGTGTATAGAAAAAGAACGGATGAAAAAAATCAACTTGCTGTTTTATTTTCTTTCCTATTTATTGTTGCTCTCGTCTCTTTTACGTTTCTAAATTTAAATATATACTGAGAAAAAAGAATTTGCTTTCGTTCGTTTCCTCACAAGAATATTTTTGTCTGTGTTCACCTTTACTCTATTTCAAACAAAAAAACAAAAACAAGAGTAGTCTTACTTCAGCTTGTCTTAAAGATGCCAAAAAAATAATGATTATTTCGTTGTTTCACAAAAAAAAATCAAAAAAAAAATATCTTCTACGCACATGTAAAAGAATTCTTTTCCGTCAGTCGACTAGCATTTGTCAAACACTTACCTAGTGTCAAGAACATTTTAAATGCAAGAAATGAAGCGAAAAAAAAAAAGGATACATGAATAAAATTTATTCAAATTTAAAGTGTTTGCTAGTTATTGGTCATACAAAGTGTAGGCGAATATTGTTTGAACATGCAATCAAATCATTTCATGACCATTAATCATCTAAAGTTTTTTTTTTCTAGTCAACAATGATTCTTCTTCTTGTCTGATTTTGCGTCATCTTTTCATTATTTGCTCATCTTCTATATGCAAGCAAATAATACCACGCACTATATCTTTAAAATGCAAAAAAAAAGAATTGAAATATAAAAAAAAACTTCATACTTCTTTCTTTGTGTCAAATTATTTCATAAAAGGACACTATTAAAATGATGATTGAGTAATCATGTCTCCTAGTCGTCGTACACCTACACCATATGCTACTAGCAGTTCTACATCATCATCATCGAATAATTCATATAGACCTCGGATTAGAAGATCGTCATCTGTTACTTTACGTCAATTAGCTGTACACGATCTTGATGAACCTCATTCAAGAATTTGGAATCAATCATCATCAAGGCAAGAAGAAGTATTTCGAATTTCAAGACCAACCTTTAATATACCACGTTCATCAATATATTTACCTAATGATAATTTAATATGGACACCTAGTGTGAGACCTATACATGTCGAAGATCTTTCTTCATCACCTAATTCAACTTCAAGAATACATCTTTTTGATCAACCATTCTCTCAAATTGCACAACCACCAATTCCATCTCCGCCATCAATTCAATATCAAATTGTACCTATTCCTTCTGCTCAACCTTCACCAATTTATACTCTTCGTCATATAAAACGAAAAAAAAAATTTAAACAAGAAAGAACTCCAGGTCTATGTACAACTTTATGTAGTGGTGGTTTTGGGACATTTGCTGCGCTTATTTATTTAAGTTGTTGTCTTGCTTTACCAGTAACAAAACTTGCATTGGGTATTCGATATATAAAAGATTGTCCCGTTGATAATAAAATTCCATTGTATATGATTGTATCTGGTGCTTGTGGTATAGGTATTATACTTTTTCTTCTTCTTTCATCAACTTGTACATTTTATCGATCATCAATTGTTGCAAGAAAATCAACTCATAAATTTATGATATGTACTATTGCATTTGCACGTGGTATGCAAGGTATTATAGCTATATTTCTTTTAATTTGGTTTTTCGTTGGAAATTTTTGGGTATTTGGTGCTCGATATCGTCTTCAAACTAATAATCCAAACGATAATAATTATTGTCATCCAGTTCTTTATTGGTTTGGATTTTATGTACTTATTTTTACTTATGTATTTGCTGTTATTTTGTGTTTCTTAAGATTTTGTGCAAATTTTTTTTGTTGTCGTGCACAGGATATATGGAAGAGAGCTTTTACATAAATGATATCGATATTTGATCTCAGTCGAAAATAAGACAAGAATATAAGCTCCAATTGACTGTCCATTTTATGATTGTATATATATACGTACGTATACCATACGAATAGGACAGATAAGACGACAACAACAACGATGAAAAGTTGGTTAATTGCTTTTTTTTTGTTCGTTCGCAATATAAAAAGAGAAGAAGAAAGAGAAATATGCAGTTCACTTGTCACAAAAATACGACTATAACGATAGCATATAATACATATTGAACAGAAGAAAGCGAGAACAAGATGAAATGAGGTCGACATACATTCATTTTTTTTTCTGTGTACAGTAGATATGAGTAAAGAGACGATCAACGTTTAACGAAGCACTTGACTGATACAAAACAGCCTTCTTTTTTTCTCTTATTTATACGTAGACAGTGCCGTTAGGCTTCTATTTCCAAATTACAAAACGAACCATAGTCTCGCTCTCTCTGTCTAATTCATTATTCTATGTATGCCATATAGACAGACTCAAAAGAGCAATTCTGTTCTTTTATTTCTTCACCATCGACAACACCGAACAATAATAATACATAGTCTGTCAGTACTATAAGCTTCTCTCTCTCTCTCATTCTCATCTTATATGTGATGGAATAGGATTACTCTATGCATGATGATTTATTGTGGCATAAGATGGCCAACGAGGTAAGTACTGTTACGGACAGAAGAAAGAAAAAGAAGAGATATGCACGTCGAACACATCCTATATATATACATATATATATACATATATCATAGGGATATGAGCATAGATGAAAGCTAGTGCAGGAACAAGGCCTTTTTTCGATAATAGAACAGAAGAAGAAGAAGAAGAATACTACCCTCGCGCAAACGTCTTCTTCTTTATTCTTTGTCTTATTCATTTCTTTGCATATCTTTTGTTCATAAAACTGTACAATAAGAAGAGCATTGCATATGAACAAACCTAAGATGATACTTAATATTTCTGTCATCGAACAAGCTACTTGTGACAGTATTCAACATCTATTTGAGTTTATTCATACTTTGTTTTCCTTTCATCTCTTTTTTTTTCTTCTCTTTTCCTATATACATATATGCTTTCGTTTGTGATTGTATTACATAAGTAGACTATGCATTGTACTTATGTATATTCTTCACTATATATGGATGGATCGATCTTATTAAATATCCCTTCGGTTTTTTTTTATAAGTAAAGGGTATATTTGTACGTTATGAATAGGGAATATCGATTAGCTGCAAGAAAGAAATGAAAATGAAAGAAATTTCATGATGGATTTATGAAAGATTTTTTTTCTTTTATCCCGATAAACATTAGTATATAGTTTACTCTACAAGATATGATCATGATTTATTTGCACATACTTCTTGTAGAGATGTATGTCCTCTTCTTTTTTTCTTCTTCTTCTCCTTCGTTGTCGTCTCCATTTATCCTTCGAGATATTGATAAGAAAACGAACAACAGGTCAATAGGATGGTCGAATGGTCACTCTTTCTTATTGTTTGATAAATCAATAACCTAGCAATTTTTTTTACTAATACATATATGAATACATACATACATTTATATGGATAAATGGTTCGTATCTATTATTTGTGTTCTTTCCATTCGTTTAATGATGAGAAGAAATCAAACCTGTTTTCATTCATATATAATTGTCTTCAGCAGAAAAAAAAATTCAATGTCCTTTTAGTCGTCGTCTTCTGATTATTCAACATTAGTTGAATAATTACATCATGTATATATATATATAGAGAGAGAGGGAGCAGAAGCAGGTCAGTTATATTATTCCATATACATGAATATAGAGACAGGAGTCGAGTAATCATGAATACTTTGCTTTTTTTATCCATGCTGTTTGAATTCTCTTATATTCTTTCTTTCTCTGTTTTGCATTTATTTGACATGTTCGTTCACTAGTACAGCCAGCAATGCAAGTTATATATCGCTATCAGCATATATCGTCTAGACATTACTCTCGTTTACTGTATATGTCTGTATTATCAAACAGGTACTATAAATTGTATATGTTTCTTTTTTTAGATTGATTGATGATCTATTTATTGATTAATGGAACAGTATTTGAATTTAGTATTGAAAAATTATACGGCATCATTTTCTAGAAATTTTGATGATGAAAACTTTTCTGGCGAACAAGATGATAGTAAGATAAAAAAAGAATTTTTTCGATAAATTATTTTTCTTTTATCGTTTTTTTTTTCAAGTTTCAGATACATTTGCTGTTAGTGAACTTCATTATAAAATTCCATTTTGGATCGGTGTTATTGTAATTAGTCTTCTTTTTCTATCAGCTATTATTGCATCAATACGTTATTGTTTTTATACACTATGTTCATCACACGCCGGTAAGTTCAATATACATTTCACACATTTTTCTTTGTTACGAAGTTACATCATATCTAAGAATAAGAAATAAAATGAATCTCAATACAAACATTTCATCTTATACTTAAAAAAAAAAAAAGAAGAAAAGGAAACGGAACAAATTCTATGTTGCCTTGACTTTTTCGTTGTCTTTTTTATTCCTTTAATTCACCTGAACAAATACAGCCTTTCATTTTTCTCATACATACACGTACACAAACTGTTTTTATGTGCATGTGCAATATATATACATACATACATAGATTGGTATGTTTTAATAAAATTCAAAATTGAAATTAGACCGACAATGATAATATGTGACCATTGAAATGGTATTCATGCATGTATATATATATATGACCGAGAATACAAACGATTGAACGAATATATACAATGGCATTGAATTACATTTATGAGTAGTTGTTGTGACGAGGCTAAGTGGTAGAGAATAGGCAAAAAAAAAGAAGGGAACAAAGCTGTCTGTAGTGTCAATTAATTAGAGTGGACAAGCACACTATAAGGTCTATGACAAGGTGAATAAAAAGAAAAAGATGAAATAAATTTACCGTTTTCACTTTTCAAAATTTAAACTATACAAAAAAATTCAAGTATTTTTTTTAGAAACAGAAAAAGTAACATTAGTACCACCAAAATCACCTTGTCTAACGAGTACTGCTAATACAATTCAACGTCAACGACGTCAATTACCTGTTAATATTTCTCATCATATATCAGATGATAATGAGAAATCATCATCATTTTCCGATGAAACAAAAGATCATCATTCAAATCTATCAATTATACCTATTGTTCGTCAACATTCTCGACCACATTTTATATCTACACAAAATCATCATCCGAATATTGATACAAAAGATATTGATAAACATAATTTTTCTTCGATTCAATCATCACAATCTCGAATACCAATTGATATTAGAAAAAAAATTCATGGTATTTATGTGTTACCTGTTTCACCTACACTTTCATCATCATCATCAACAACAAATACTGATGAAATAATTAAACATGGTTCGAATACAATACCTATTCGTTCACTAAGACATATATCATCATCAATAAATGTTCATAATGATTCAATATGTCGTGGTATTAAAAATAATAGTTTTGCCGATTCACCACAACCAAAAGATCGTACATTACCACGATCTCATGCAAGTACATTACGACGTATTCAACCACCATCACAACCGCCACCATTACCACCAACTATATCACAATTTCATTTCAATAATGTTCGATCATCGATTGATGTTAATAATGATAAATCATTAGTTCAACATCAGTCAGCTACACTAGATCTCGATCATAATAATATTGTTGCTCTTCGTTATCATAGTCAAAAAATCTATGGTAAATTCGAAGAAAATCATTTGAAAAAACCTTCACCACCGCCTGTACCTTGTCGATCACAAAAACCAACGATGTTACCAATCGGTTTTGAAAATTTAACATCAGCACAACCAGATCCAATTGGTTTTCGAGTAGCTATTGAATCATCACCACAAGATGATTATTCTGAACATACATGGCCAAAACCACCTGAATCGATGACAACATCAGAAATTGGTGTACCACCACCGCAAGTTCTTCCATTATCGATACCTTATGATCGTCTTCATCATGATCATTTAATACCTACTGTACTTATGCGTCATAATAGTACAAATAATTTTTTTCAACATCATCGATTTGGTGAACATACTATGTTGACAGAATCAGAAACGTGATGATTGTGTTTAACATCTTTTTTTTCGTTTGTTTTATAATTTTTCTTGTTTTCCTTGTTCTTGAAGGCGAATGGCTGTTGTGTCATAACAGTACTGTATAGTTTCTATCTTGTCGTTCTTTTTCTTGTTGTTTTTGTTCGTATTATTTTAGGAAAAACTTCTTTCAAAAACTTTTTCTGTTCATTCTTATTGTTTGATCTTTTTGTTTTAGTTTATTTGAATGAATCGTGACAATAAAGAAGTACTGAATAACAAATGTATTCGATTAAACTTTTGTTTTTGAAAGAAAATTTTGAGTAAACAAAAAAAAAATGTTTAGATGAATTAATTATCAGAAAATGAATGGTAACGAAATAATATTTAAAGCTTAGCAAAAATTTCTAATATTATTTTGCAAGTTTAGTCAGTGTTTTCTGCGTCGAAATTTGGTAATCTGTATTACGGCGAACTGTTATTTCCGTGATATGATCATTATCAACAATGTGTGTTTTCTGGAATCTTTATTTTGATAATCTTTCTTTTCAATAGATTTCGTTTCAGCATGGTTTTTGATGATACTGTAGACAAAAACTGCGAGTTTTATTATTTCAACATTTCTTCTATGGGATGTATAACAAAATGTTACTGGAGTATATGATATATTCTACGCAATTGTGAAATCAACACTAAACAGGAACCTTTTGTAAAAGAGTTCAAGCTTTTTTTCGAGTCTTATGAGTTTATAAATCAATGTTTTGAAACTTAGATTTCGGAGAATGGTGCAAAGAAAAACACGTAAAACATTTATCAATATCAATTACACCTAGTACAATAAACAACAATGGAGTATATTTAAGTGATGAGAAAAGATATTCAATTAATAAATATTTATTCTTCAGAGACATCAACATTTATGAATTTGAAATCGACGATATAAAAATCATTGCGACTTTGGTATAATGGAACATGATATCATTGTTATGATTTTTTAATAATATTAGAATCGATTGAATTGGAACTTTACACTTATATGGTACTAAGTTTATATATTCGTTTACTGATGCTTCAAAAACTTTCACTTATTGTATCTAAAAAGAAAGATGAGTTTAAAAGTTGTCATAGAACTTCAGAGATATTCTTTAATTTTAATGAAAAAAATTTGAAATGAGAGTATTTTGTTAGTTCCAATGGATGTTGTTTTTTTTTTAAATGACTATTTCTAATATTTTCTAACATATATTAAATAATAATTATTTAATTGCATGTTACTTTAAGAAATGATTAACTTTACTCTGTTAACAAATAAAATTGCATCTCTGTGACTTTACAAAGAATATTTAAAATACTATATTATTTCATGAAGCTTTCATGATTTCATGAGATGTGTCGTTCTGAATAAATCGAATTGAAATTGTTTTGTATACTATCGAATATACGCATGATGAACACACTGCACTTTTATTTTAATTTATTTAAATGTTCTAATTTTTAACCAATAAATATTATCAAATCGAAGAAATAGAAACTACGATATAAATCAGAAAACAAATCGATATTATCCTAATTGTTATTAAAATGGAGTACTATCAAAAACTGAAAGGAAAAGCCTCGAATATTTTGCAGTATATCATATGAACAGACTAACATAACAACATTAAAATATGTTTGATATATTGTTTTTTTGGAAAATTACGACACAAAAGAAAGTAACAACATGGAAAAATTTGTTGAAAACTAGTAAGAAAAAAACTTCATTTTGGTTTTTCCAATTAATCGAAGAAAATCTTTCTAGACTATCAATAAGATTTGCTTGGATCAAATAGCAACTCGAATGAATAAATATGCTGTACAAATACAAAACTTATCTGTTCGTATGATTTTGTAACTCAGTTTTGTGATAAAATTTATTGTTCTGATAAATATAATCAACAATCAAGAAAAGACATTTATTTTCTCTTATTCTTAAGAAATGAAATTCTATGTGTTTCATTCAAACTCATTTGTGACATGTCCGATATATAATGAAACCACATAGAACAGTAAAAATACAAAAGAAAATTATGTTTAGTAAGACATCCACGAAATATAAATAAATGGTAATAGTTCGTCTGATCTCTACAATATACCATATGAACAATAGATGAAACAGGCACATGTAAACAGAAAACTCAAGATTACATATAGAAAAAAACCTAAGGACAAATATTTCATTGACAAGAATATTTCAATAAACTAAACTATGTAATGCCTAATGCAAAATTTCCTGAAAAAATGCCGCTTTATTTTCCATCGGCTAAAACTTGTTTCGGACAAAGCAAAAGTGCCTATTCAGAATCTAGATTATAAGAATTTTCTAACTGTATGTTCAAAAAAGTTCTACCATGCCTGCATTCGAGTAATAAATACATCTAATAACATTAAAATGTAGTCTGTAGAAAGTAACCTTCAATAGCTCTACTTGCATAAACTGATCTTCAAGCGACGTTGTATTATTTTCTAACAAAAAGCTAGACTTTCACCACTTGAATTTTAACGACTTGTTCAATATCCACCGAACTTTGGACAATGAAAATTTTGTCGAAATTATAGTTTCACCGATGTTCTCAATTCATCCCACAACAGTTCATCGATAAGCCAGAGCTTCGACAAACTTTTTCATTGTGAATATTCAGGCGCAAAATTGACAAAAGTGACCGAATTCATGTAACCAAAATTCTGTATAACTTTTTTTAACAGGTTCGTCAATCGTCAAACAACGGATCTAATGGCCACAGATGCAACGAAATACGATGAAAGGTACAGGAGAAATCTGCAAAATACTGAGACAGTAGTTCTCTCTGCCATAGTCATTGTAGATTATTGTTCAATGACTGCATTTTAGTATTATTTAAAGATGTGCTCTTTATTGGGAATTAACACATCACAGTACTTTTTTGACGTATACAGTTCAAAAGCATTTTTAACCTAGATGCTGGACATGCATTTTTACTTTGTCCAAAACATGTTTTAGTCGATGAAAAATGAAGCGACATTTGTTTTTAGAAACTTGATCACCAACTGTTAGAATGAAAGGCATTTTTCAAGATGTTAACTATTTAAAATCACATTATAAAATATTTTGTATTTTGAAATTTCACTTTTTCAGAAGTTAGCTTTTCCAACTTTTCATAGTAGCTTACTAGAAATGTTATTTGCTGACTTCAAATAATTCTTTAGTTGTACTTTTCAAACAATCAAAACAATAAGAGAGAACAGTTCAATTCGATTAGCTTTTGTCTATTGCAAATCTATAGAAAACATTTTTTTTGATGTAAATGCAAACTGACGAATGTGAATGAATTATGATAACAGTAATTTGATTCTAAAAATAACTCGTAAATAAAGAATATATATATGTATATCAGGCAAACTTTTTTTTTTAGTACAATCAGTCAATAGATGCATGTTTCTAAAGTAAATGCATTTCATTTCTCTAATCATCATCTGATTTCAACATATTTCGCTCAATTGTTTGACATGTGTTAGAAGATAATCTAATGATTGTAGAAAAAAAGAACTCGTTTGAAATCTATAAAGATGACAAATATTATTCGTATGTGATAAAATAAATCTTTAAAGATATCATGATTCGTTATCATTTTAAGCTTTGCATGGCTATGTAACGATTGTTTAATTTGTATTTTTCATAATGATTTTTCTTATAAAATTATCAATAATTTGTTTGTATTTATCAGCTATATATTATTTTCGTTGATTGAAATATTTTACAAACTCATTTTCTTCATAATATACAACAATGAAATGCTAATATTGTTTATTTCAGTAGCAAATATGATAAATTAAAACTTTGGTAGTCTTAAAATCAATACTCTAAATAGAGTGATACGCATATAGACATAGTCTAAATGTCCCTAATATTTTTTTTTGACTTTTAGGTAAATGTAACCAATTTTATTAAATATCAAAATGTATGAAATTCATTTATGTCCCCAGCAATATTTGCGTGACACTAGGGAGTTACAGGTCGAGATTTTTGTAGACTTGAACCTGAGAAAAGCGAAATTTTTGGGCCGAAACTCGGATTCAGAAAGACCCGTAGCTTTCTACTTGGTACACTAATATAAACATTCAATAGATTTTTTTTCTTGAAAAGCTAATATTAAAATCAAATTATAGAAGTTTTCATATCTTTTAATCATCTTTGACTTTGTTTTTCTATACATATGATTAAAAACCTCAATTATTATCAATATGCATTTCCTTCACTCATTCATAGTTTTTATTTTATTTTTTTTTGTTCATTGACAATCAGTCAGTCAAATGTGACTGATCATTGTTTCATCTTTTTAGCTTGAATTGTGTTCAACAATAATTATTAGAAAGACGATTCAATGTTAAACAAAATAAAAAAAAACATTGAACAATACATTAAGAAGGTACGCCGAATGGACAGCTTAAGAGAGAAAAGAGCAATAATCATCTTTGTTTTAAATGTGAATCAATCTTTCATCCTTGTCGATCGACAACAACTACCGATCAAGTTTGACCACTAACATACACATACAATATTGTCTGTCTGTCTAGCTGCTCAGTCATAGAGAGTCATTGATACATTGAGTGAGTGAATGAGCAGTGCAGCCGAGCGTTGCTGATCTGATTTTAGTGGTGACTGTCAAGTGTTCGTCATTTCAAGTGTAGAATAGGATATACGAACTTCTATTCAATAAGACGATTATCACAAACACAAAAAGATAACAAAAAAAAACGAAGAAAAAAGAAAGCAATATATATTGGTTTCTCTTTTTTTTCCCAATATCTACAAGTCATAAGAAAGTCATTGTTAATATCGATCCCAAAACGTATTTGTTCCAGATGATGATGATGATGCTGAAGAAAGATGAGCCGATTGCAATGACATTGATGGATGAAGAATACTAGCTAAAATTATATAAAAATAAACTTTTTTTGTTTTTTTTTTTTTGTATACATACAGGATTGACACATGACGTTGGATGTAAATGTAGTATAATCTGAATTATGATGAGAATGATATGATGGTGGTCTTGTATATGTTGACGGTGGAAATGCAACATCTTCATAACAATTAACTAATTTAATTTAAAAAAGAAATAAATTATTGAAAAATATTAATAAATTACAATCAATTACCTGTTGGTAATGGATAAGGATATCCTGATGATGAACATGAATAATTATGAGATTGTGTTGTTGAATATGGTGAAAAAACTTTACTAGTCATTGTTTGTCGATTATCAATTGTACCAGGTGGAAAATAACATCCAATCGATGGTGGAATATTAGATTCAATCATATAACCTGATGAAGGAGTTGTAATTGATGATGGTGATGTTGTTGTTTGATTTAATGATGTTATTGTTGGTTGAGATAATGGTGGTGGTGGTGGAGAAACTTTCGTTATACCCGATGTATTACCGGTCGATGTTGTTCCTGTTGATGACTCACAAGCTGTATGAGTTCGTCGTTGATTACGTGCTTTTTCTTCACGTCTCCATTTAGCTCTCCGATTTGAAAACCAAACCTTTTTTTGATTGGATAAAAAACAAAATTAAAATTTTGATTATTCATAAAACGAAAAAATTTTTACCTGAATACGATTCTCTTGTAAACTAATATGTTTAGCTAAACGTTCACGTACATAAACATCTGGATAATGAGTATGTTCGAATTCTAATATAAATGAAAATTTATTTACTTATTTATTTTTTCACAACAATAGAAAAAAAAAAGAAAAGACCTTTTTCAAGTGCAGCTATTTGTTCTTGAGTAAAAGCTGTTCGATTGCGTTGTGTTTTTTGACGTGATGATAATTTAGAATCCGGATCACTATTTATACTTTGTTCAGCATCATCATCATCATCATCGTCATCATTATTAACACTATTATTATCTTCATTCGATGTTTCATATGGAATTGGCATTGAAGTATGTCCATCTAAAAAAAAGAAATAAATAAACAAATTTAATCAAAGTTCTTTTTTTTTTCTTTTTAATTAAAATTAAATTCTTTTTTACTTTTAGTATTTAGATTTTGTGTTGTTGTACTACATGTTGTTATTGGTGGTGGTTGTTGTTGATGATGATGATGCCATGCATATGGTGGATTTGTTGTAGGATTTGCAGTTCCTAATACTGTCCAAATGGGTGGTGGATTAAGTAAATTACATGATGAACCATCATAATGAAATTCTCTTGTTTGATATTGATGATAATCTGTAGTTGATTTTAAAGATGATGATGATGATAAATTACGTAGTACTCGATTAATAGAAGATACCTGAAAAGAAAATCAATGATGAAAATTAAAATAAAAATGAAAGGTTTTATTAGAAAATATACACTCGGTAAATTATCTTGTGTACAAACGCCATCATTAAGAAGACGCTCACGAATTTCCCAAGCAAATATTGATGGGTTTTCGGCTTTAATTTCGGCAATTTTTGCTACAACATCTAAATAAATCTTTTAAATGTTTCCGACTAACATTCAATAAACAAAAAAAACAATTAACCTGGTGTAGCAACACGTGGTTTGGAACCACCAATAGCTCTCGGTTTAACCGAGCCGGTTTCGTAGAATCGCCCCAGGATTTTAGATACACACCCGTTTGATACTATAACATGAAAAATGATAATGAAAATAAAGCTTATCGACTGATTTTTTCTACCTTGTAATTTCCGTGAAATTTCGCACGGTCTTGCACCTTGTCGAGCCAGTTCAACGATTCGATGCCGTATTGTTTCCGGTAATGGTCGTCCGTTAACAAAAACTCCGCCTAATTGGTTAACGCCACTATGACCTAAATAAAAATAGAGCATTCAAATTTGTTTCAATTGTTCACTAGATAAAAAAAAAAAAAAAAGAAAAAAAGAAAAAGTAAAGTACCTTCTAAAACAATTTGATACATCAAATGAGGCATTTCATCTAATTCAATGATGGATGAAAAAAGCTCAAGAAAAACTCCTCTCGTTTTTATATATATACAAATACAAAATAAGAAGAAAAAAATTACTCTTCCTTGTATATTATCTCATGTAAATATGGTCAAATGGGACATTGAAAATCTGCTTTTGTCTTGAAATAGTAATTAAATCGAATCAATGATAATATTCTTATTATTATATGACGACTGATTCCCTGGTGATAAGCTTAGAGATAGTGAAAAGACAAAATAATTTCTAAAGAGAAAGTTAATAGAGTTGTCAGCTGGAGTAGGCAATATAAGATTTCACAAAATCATCCTCTTATCAATTCTAATTCATTTGCACAAAGATAAATAGAAAATCTTATTTTTTTTTTGCTTACTTACGTTAATATGAATATATATTCAATATGAAGAAAAAAAGAATCTAGAAGTAGAAAAAAAAAAAAGAATCATATACATGACACTTAGAGTTGTTCCTTTTTTTTCATTCAATGTGAAATGAATAATCAAGCATAGAGAAAGAGAGCAAATAAATACAATTCAGCAATGGATTATTCAGCAAAAGAACCACTTTACTACAATACATAGACATACATCATCAGCAACTAACTATCAATAGTGTTGCACACTTGAAATGGTCTACTTAACGATCAAGTTAGTATAATTATTTCGATGCCAACGGGAGAAAATAATCATTTCAAATAATGTTCATTCGAATTTTTTAATGTACTCAAAAAAAGAAAAGAAAAAAAAAGAAAAGAAAAGCAAAGAAAATTTAAACGAAGCAACATGTATACACCTGTCGAATTGTGCTACTATTTTTTATTCTTCATCGTGTACTTTTGTCGTTTTTTTTTTTTCTCTCTGTTCTTCTTGTTCTCTAACGTTTCATTTTCATTTGATAATACGAGTGTTGATTTGATTGGTGACAACAAATCATATCGTTTTCTAGTCAACGCGTCTGTTCGATTACAATTCTCATTCAAAAAAAAAAAAGATAACTGACTCTCATCAATATGATGAAAAATTAAATAAACCAATAAAATAATTTACAAAAATATTTTAGTATTGTTTTAAAACATTTAAGTGGATGTCTAATCGAATAACATATGAACATTTTTGTCATTCAGTAGTCACGATGTATGACATGCATTACTTTATATATATATAAATTATCATCTATTTGTAAAACTCATACATGCAAAGGATGATTATCATCTAATTGGACAAACGAAGTCACCGATTTTATAGAGTTCATGTCAATTAAAGATACTTATCTTATATTTTGTTATTGTCACTCTTAGTTTGTTGAACAAACCTTGTTTTTGTTTATTGGAATCGACAATGATTATCAAATCAATCGCTAAGCTATATATATTATTTCTTTTTGAGAAAATTTGGATAACCGTTTACATTGTGTTATTTTTTGTTTTTTTGTTGTTTATTATCTATAACCATGATTGGTTATGTGTATTGATTGGTTGAAAAAATTTCTATTTCTCCAATAATCGAACGACAGTTGAAGCTTCATAATGACAAAAAAAAATCGTAATGTTCGAGCAGATGAGAAAATGATAGTATCTTTTACTTATTCTTTCTATTTCTTTATCCCTATTGAATCGATATGAGAGAATGACAACGTTCGCATTACGTTCGGGCGTCTGATTTTGAATATATACATATATTCGTTTGTATCCTCCAACTGTCCATCAAGCGGAAGATGCGCGTGCATATACCTTTTTATACGATATTTATATAGATAATGCGTAAAGAAAAAAAAAACGAGTAGACATTGAGGAATGTCTCATCATCAAATGGAACGTGCACGATTGCACATTGACTAGCCTGAAGCAGTATATGAAAAGATATATTTTGATATATATTTCATCATTGAAAAGTAAAACGAAATAAAAGAATTCTAATTTTGCTATTGTAAGCTTGATTAAACATGTATTATATCCTTTTAGCGGTTTATTTTATCAAAATTTGATGGTTTTTTATGATAGAGAAATTCTTACATCTGCTTTATATAATAAGAAGTTAATTATTTTCTTGATATATATCGAAAAAAAAAAGATATTCATGATATTGAGAAAAACACAAATTAGAAAATTCATTTCGATCTTTTTTTTCAATATACCTGTACTGTTTAACAAAAAAAAGTAACACAATCATTATACAGAGGAAAAAACAAGCATCAGAATGACATAGAAAATATATTCGAGTTTATAAATATTTTTCATTTAAAATTATGTTTAATTCAATTATTAAGAAATAATTAAATCTGAATGATATTGAAAATATAGAGAAAAAAAACGAACAGTACATTTATTTCTATAATGGAAGGTTATTGTTACAAGGTTTTATTGTCAAATATGTTGGTAATTTATATTGTTTATTTAATCACACTTGTATGTGATGTGAAAGAAAAAAGAGAAATGAATGATGCATGATGATTAATACATATGATGATCGTACGTTATATGTATTATTGCATTCATTGTAGTTAATAAGTGATATATTATATCGAATTCATTGAAAAAATATGTATTATATTTATACTTGCACATAGATAATAAAAAACAAGTTATATTATATTTGAACATATAACTGAAAAATTACTAATAAAGAAACAAATTATCAAATGGTATTTCACAATTTGAATATAACTTTTCGATAATGATTTATTCAGACTTCAGATCATCTTAATTAATTCATCTGAATAATTTTAAATTCATGAGTTTGTTAAGTTTGAAAGACATAATTTTTTGTACTAATTAAAAATGTTTTCAAAATAACGAATGAGACAGGTTAAATGACTGCGTTTTGTATATCAGTTTTCAGTCTCTGAATGTGTTATATTATGAAAACAAATTATACCAAAAGATATAGCATGAAAAGCTCAACGATTTATACAAGATCGCTTATTTTATAGTTGCATTTTTTGTTTTCAAAATGAACAAAATTTTGAGTAATCAATTTTCGACACTATGAGAAAATCATTTATTGGTCGCACTGAACTTTGCTTATTGTAAAAACAAAAATGTACATATATAAAATAAACTGTTCTGTTTAAATTGTAGAACCATTCACACAGCATGGTGTGATATATTTTGTTTTTTTTTTCAAGTAAAAGATATCAGATGATAAAAAGATGAAACAAGAAAATTGAAAGCGAAAAATGCAACCATAAAAAATTTGGTCTATGTAAATTGCAGAGCTTTTCATGTTGCATCTTTTGGAATAATTTGTTTTCTTCATACAATATATTAAGCAAATGAAAACTGATTTACAATATGCGACCATTTTTCTGTCTCATCTGTTAGTAGAAACAGTTTTTGCTAATAATTATTATATGAATGTTTACAATTTAGACATGAGAAGTATACTATAGGTTGATCTTGAACAATCGATTGTTAAAAAAAAATAATATAACGGTTTATTTAGTTTTAACAATCAAAAGTGAATCTTTACCGTATTTACTTCGCTTAAGTACGGCTGAAGATAAAGGTATATAGAATTAAAATATTGATCTTGACTACTGCTACGACTGTTATCGATGGTTTTAATGATTTTTCTGCAACTACAGTTGTAATAATAAATAAAAATAAAGGCCAATAAAATAGCTATTTCATGATTAATTTTGATCATCTATGATATAAACAAAGAAATCAATAGAATTCAGATGTATGAGTGATAGATCGAATTTGACGAGCTGCAACACTACATATATATATGTATATACATGTTCATTTGCACAATTGATTGCTTAAGATGAAACTTCTTTCTTTATAATTCAAAAATGTAATGCAATTTTTTAATATGTTCATGGCCATACAACCGATTAGTGAGTCAAGAGTAAGAAAAAATTGAATATCTTTATTGTTTCTTTATCAAATGAAATATTTTTCTGTCGATGATAGATGAATGTTCAAAGTTTTCATTAATAAGAAAAATGTCGATAAATATTGCATTAAGATATTAAAGTTGGCTTGAAGAAGCGAAATCACCTTGCTCAAATATTGAAAAAAGATGATGTATATGTATGGAAACTTAGACTTGTAAGTAACTGAATTTTATCTAACGCAAATTAAACGTACAATATCCCATCCATAAATTCAAATAAAAAGCTTTCTGAGTTTACAATAGTTTACTTACCTCAAATAACGTCTAGAATAAATATGTGAAGTATATTTTTAAATAAATCGCAGAAGGTCATTTTCCTTCTTGAAGTCAATTACAATAGTTCAACGCAAACTTTATTCATAGTTCCTTCATGAACAAAAACTTTGAACAATCATTTTATCATCGACGAAAGTAAAATCTCATTGGACTAAAATCGATTAAAGATATTCATATTGTTTTTTTACCGTCACGCACTAGTAGATCGGATCAATAAAGTATCGAATAATATCTTATTGAAATTATTCATAGTCATATGCAAATCTAATATTCATTATTTTCTACTATCTACCATCAATATCGTTAGTAAAATAAACGAGCAGCAATTTTCAGAATAAAAAAAACGAGCAATGGGTTGCGTTGATGAAAATTTTATCTCATTATTACAACTATGTCCATAATATTCTGTATTGAGTAGAATTGAAAAAAAAAGTTTTATTCGTATAATGAAATAATGATGATCAAAGAAGTGAAGAAAATACATAAGCAAATAAAGTATAACTATCTACAGATAAATGCTCCTAATATATTAGTATGAATTATTCACAAGAAAATCTCACATACAAGTTTTGATCAGAATATCATGAAACGTGATACAATTATTTTTTGTTTCTTGTATCATTCTGCATCAACAGAAGGCATATGAACAATAGCAATAGCAAATGGACTTAATGTTATTCTACTCAAAGTTAATGTCACTTCAG